GCCATGTACAACTCAGTCCTCAGGGGAGATGAACTGTGTGTTGAAAGCTATGCCAAGCATGTGCCAAAAGTTCCATAGGTTTTTCAGTTCCCCATCAAAGCCCAAATTAGGCTGTCAGTGCATAGAATTGATAAATGTCCCTAGGGCAAAAGTGATAACAGGTCAACTCATACTTCTCATGTTCTCTCCTCTAGAAAAGTTTTATCCTCTTTGTAGCTTATTCCCTGAGAAGCTTTCTGCTATCTTCAAACAGACTCTTTCTGTATTTTATGAAGTTTCATGTTGTTCTCAGCAGTACTGAACTGCCACCAGCTAATCTGCCTACACAGAAACAGATTTTTTAATGACTTATTTTGAAAGTTTATGTTTTTTTCAGTGAGATTTTCATTATTTAAGAGAAGTATTACCAGTCCAAATAATATTTTGCATCTACTAAGATATGTTTAGAAGCAGAAGTAGCATCCATTTCCTAAACAACATGCCTCCGGAAACTCTATGAACTTTGACAAATGTTGATTGTTTTAGAGGGGCTTCAGGCCTTTTGTTCATAGTTCACTATGAGGCATGCTCAACTAAGGCAATCAACAACAATGACAAATGTTATAAATACAATTAGGTTATCATAATATTAGGATATCTAGTTAATTGCTAGAAATAGCATGTATATTACTAAATGTGTATATATTTTCTTCCTTTGGTATTATAACATGGTAATTAATTCCTGAGATTTTAATCAATCACTACCACTACAAAGAATGAAGGCTTTTACTTTTATTGGTTCAGTGAAAGTCTTGGTAAAGTAAGGAAGAGACATGTTTTTATTATCTTTATATATTTTGGACAGCTTGGACCCAACATTTGCTTGTTAGAATGAAGAGGGCCCTTAACATTTCCAGTTAAATATGATATACTTGATTGAGTTATAATGCTCATATTTTCAAACTAGAAATGGAAAAGGTTCTAGTTCATCTAGAACGCATCAGGATTAGAGAAACTGATTCAAGTCAAACCAGAATCAGAGGAAATAACTTGATAAAAGTGACAATTTAGTCTTCAGTAGACAAGTCACCTTTGTAGCTAGCACCAGTGCCAGGTCCATGCCATTGCACCTTCTTTACTCTTGATTGCCCTTCCCGCATTTATTGGTATACTAAAATGACTGAATATGAACATTAAGGACTCCATGAACCTGGCCTAATGGGAGACTGTAGAGAAAATTTTAAAAAAGTGACAATTTATTAATTTATGATAATTAATCCCAAGTGCACTCTGATGACTTAGTGGAAAGGAGTTATGCCACCAACCCAAAGGCACGAATCCACCATCTGCTCTGTGGAAGAAAGATGAGCAATCTTCTCACATGAGTTTTACTGTCTCTAAAAACCCACTGGAGGATCAGCTATGAGTCAGTTCTGACTCAATGACTATAAAAACATAACAATGAATACTAAGTCTACTGTCTTCATAGTGCCTTGTTACTATCAAGATATCTGAAAAACAAGACCTTCATTGGAAGGCTGTTGTGTATGATATAAATAAAAAGATGGACAAGTTGTTTTGGACAGATTTTGGAAGAATTTTCCATGCCCTGTCACAAAAGTAGAATGAATAGAATGTGTTTACTAACTAGCTGTTGGCAACCTTTCCTGACTCGCCAAAATACTTCAGTCTGCCAAATGTATGTCCTTTCTTCTTTAGAACCTGCCAGCTGAACATTCACAAATCTTACTATTGTTCTTCTTTTGACAATATTCTCTCAGATCACCATACTCTTCAATTGTAATTGTCAGTGGCTATGGTTTTTAAGTATATTTTTGTACATTATATTGTTGTTGTGTAGGAACTGACCCACCACTAACCCTTCAGCAGGCACAGAAGGAGATTGCCCACCCTTCTCCCCTAGGGCAGCTGGAGGATTTGAACCACGTACCTTTAGAATTATAGTGCAGCTTCTTGTCACTAGACTACCAGAGCTCCATACATTAGATTGTATTTTATTTGTACTTTATTAACAAAAGGTGAAAGATCATGTAATCTTATTTACAGCATAAAATCAAAACCCATACTTATTTGCCTTGTAGTTGGTTTGAAATAGTATCCTATTGTTGTTGTTAGGTGCTATTGAGTTGTATAAGAGTCATGGAAATCAAATGAACAATGAATCTGAACCTTGCCCTATCCCATGCCCTCTTCATCATCTCTGCCACACTAGAGCCATTGTTACAGTCACTGTGTCAATTCACCTCATGGAAGGTCCTGCTCTTCTTGGCTGACCCTCCCCTTTTCTGTGCATGGTGTCTTTTTCCTCCTAACAACATGCACAAAGTATGTCAAACTATGTTTCTCTATTTTACCCCTCTAAGGAGCACCCTCGCTGTATTCTTTCCAATACCTATTGGTTTGTTTTCTCAACAGTCCATGGCATATTTAGTATTCTTCCCTAGTACCTCAATTCAAAGGCACCACTCCTTCCTCTATCATCTTTATTTGTGTCCAGTGTTCATATGCATACCAAGTCATTGAAAAGACCATGACTTTGATCAGGCATACCTTATTCTTTAAACTGACATCCTTATTCTTCTCCACTTGGACATTAGACATTAGACTTTCCAAATGCAACATGTCTTCTGATTTCTTGACTACTCTTAGCAATGTTGTTTATTGTGGATTCAAGTAAGATGAAATCATTGATAATTTCAAGCTTTCCATAGCATATTATAGTGACCCTATAAAACAGAATAGAACTTCCAAATTCTGTAATCCTTATTTATCAGACAGTAATATTTACCTCCTGAAGAGTAACTAGTGAATTCAAACTGCCTACTTTCTGGTTAATAGTCAAGTTCTTAACTACTGTGCTACAAAGACCCTTACTTATAGCATAAATACACAATATAATTTTGCAGTAGGTTCCTACTGTAACTATATCTTTCATATTATCATTGAATCTTACTAATCCAAGTTACAAAATGGCTACAAAACCCACTTCTTGCAGATGGGATACTTTGAAGAGCTGCTTAGAAGGAAAATATAAAATTATTGAAATTATTGTAATACATAGGACAAGAAGTTTAAAAGATAAAACAGAGGCTCCCCAAAACTTGACCTATCATGTGCCTTAGTACTGAAATGTTAACATATTTAATCTATATGTTATTGGAAGGGCTCCATATTTGTTCCCATTCCCAAGAAAGGTGATCCAATTGAATGTGGAAACTATCGAACAAATATCATTAATATTACATGCAAGCAAAATACTGCTAAAGATCATTAAAAAATGGCTAGCATAGTGTATAGATAGGGGAGTGCCAGAAGTTCAAGCAGGATTTAGAAGAGGCCATGGCACCACGGATATTATTGCTGATGTCAGATGGATTCTGGCTGAAAGTAAGGAATACCAGAAGAATCTCTATTTATGTTTTATTGACTGTGCAAAGGCATTTGACTGTAAATCAAGTTTTAGCTGACAGTGAGAAGAAAGGGAGTCCCAGAGCACTTATTTGTGCTCATATGAAACCTACACCTGGAATAGGAGGCTGTTGTGTAAACAGAGCAGGTGAATACTGCATGGTTTAAAATTGAGAAAAGAGTGTATGACATTTGTATTCTCTCCATACCTATTCAATCTGTTTGCTGAGTAAATTTGAGAAGTTGGACTCTATGTAGAACAGAGTTGCGTCAGGTTTGGAGGGAGACTCATCAATAACATGCATGGAGAAGAAGACCTTTGATGAGATGGATTGATTCTGTGACTGTTGTGGTAGGAATGAGTGTATTTGAGATGGCTAGGTTGGCACAGGATAGAATGGCATTTAGAGCTCTTGTACATAGGGTCGCTATGAGTCGCAAGTGACTCGATGGCACATAACAACAACAACAACATGCAGAAGATGCAACCTTGCTTGTTGAAAGTGAGGAGGACTTGGAGCACTTGTTGCAGAAGATCAAGGAATGTGACCTTTTGTATAGATTGCATCTCAATGTCAAGAAAGTGATAAAGATTCTTATCACTGGACTGATAGACAACATCATGATGGATGAAGAAGAGATTGAAACTGTCAACAACTTCATCTTGCTTGGATCCACAATTAACACCCTTGGTATGGGCCATCAGGAAATAAAGAGATGCATCGTACTGGGAAAATCTAGTTAGGGACCTCCTCTCCCAATTATTTAGGAGTAATGATGTCAGTTTGAGGACTAATGTGCGTCTGATTCACGCCATAATCTTTCTGATCACTAGCCATGCATCTGAGAGCTGGACAGTGAATAAATATGACAGGAAAAGAATTGACACCTTTGAGCACTGAACATTGTATGGATGACTAAGAGAACAAACATATGTCTTAGAGAGGGTGCAGCCAGAGTACTCTTTGGAGGAAAGGACAATGAGGCTTCACCTCACATACTTTGGGCATGTTGCTAGGAGGGGTTATTTCTTGGACAGGGACAGGATGCTGGGAAGGGAGGAGGGTCAGCAGAGAGGAAAACCCTCAGCCAGGTGGATTGACATGGTGACTGCTGCAATGGGCTCTTGTACATCAGGAAGTATGAAGGTGGCACAGGATAGGACAGGGCTGAAATCTTTTGTTCATAGGGTTGCTATGAGTAATACTAGACTCAACAGCACCTAATAACAAGACAATTGATTTGTTACAATAGTAGGGATAATATACTTGAAACTTAATGCCTTAAGCATATTTTTATTTTAAAATTCTGGACCCTAGAACTTATTAAATGATTATTCAAATCCCCATGAATAACTGGAACTTAAGGGGAAATTCAGACATCAGCAGTGTCTTGAAGAACTGAGGGCCTGGAGTTTAGCACAGAAGGTTCTGAGAGATTAACTGGTCCTGGATATGGGGTTTATCTGAACATTAAAATCATGTAATCTACTTTGGGTATAAGAGAATGTTTTACCTCCTGTAATAGTTATGTGCAAAGGTAGTTTACCTCTTGGGAATGATCCGCAGTTATATGGATTATTCCTTTTCTAGGCACAGGAGAATGAGATATTAAATGTGAAAAATGAAGTGCACCTTATGGAGAACATTATGGAGAGTCAGAAGGCAGAAAGGGAAGAACTTTCCAACCTTCGCGTGGCATGGCAAGTTAAAGCCACTGAATGCAAGCCTGTGAAACAGCAGTGGGGAGCATTCAAAGAGCACCTTAAAAAGGTAAAGAAAATCCAGAACTGGTAGTTTTGTTAAATGGAGGTTTAGACTCACACACTTGCTCCAGGTAGCATGGGCTTTCATGAGGTATTCAGATAACATCTTATGACAAGTCATCACTAAAGTGATTCTAAAGACCAATGTCAAAGAAAACATATACACATAACTGTTCAATATTTGTTTCAGACTACTCACAACTTAAAACTTCTTCAGGAAGCACTTATGCCTGTGTCTGCACTTGACCTTGGAGGGAGTCTTCAGACCATTTTAGATCTACAGAGAAAATGGATTGAGATGAAACCCCAGTTCCAGGTGAAGACATAGGTTGATGGACGTGGGTGAATGGAGCATAATTTAAAACTCTTCTATTGTGGATCATGTAATTTAACAGACTGGTGAATAACTTTTTATAAACATGGTTTATCTAAAAATTCACTGTCGAAACATTTCTCTTACTGTATTTCTATACGGTTTGATTATTTGATCAGGCCTAAACAGTTAAGGCCACAAAATGTCTTTAATCTCTTTTTAGCTGAGGTTAGTTTTGTTTACATTGAATTCTTTCCATACTAGTATATTTATCATATATATTATGATGATTTTTCTAGGGAGTGTAGACATGATTTAGAAGAGGCAGCTCAGAACAGGGTCTGGCCACCACGGGATGGTCTCTGCATTCCTTAGCCCCTGACTGAATCACTGTGATACCCCATGGTACCCCAAGTGTCTCCTATTATCCAAGGATTCTTGCTCTTCTTCCCCCATCACCCTCATCGTGAGCATATGATGAATTATGTTTCCCATTCTTCATAGTGAACGCTTTCTATACCCCTCCTATCTCTACTGAAGAGTGAGCTTTGATGGTGTAATCCATAGGGAGTTACACTGTCTGCTCAAAGCTGCATGTCTCCATCAGGTAGAATCTACCAGTGGCTACAAGGGACAAAGTCAGGCAGTCTCCTCCCATTTTGATTTACACTCTTGGAAACCCAATGGAGGAGCCACTATAATTGGAAACCAAGTATATGGCAGTGAGTTTTGTTTAGTTCAAAGGTGTGTTTTTTTCTTTCTCCTAAATTTGATACAAGTGCCCAAACTGGTTACCAATCATGTAATCCTGCTACCCTGGATTCTTATTCTTTGCTAAAAAATTAAGACAGAGATGATCATGTCAGTCACTATTTACTTCATGGAATGCTGCCTTTGAAGAAGTCTAGAACCAGAAAACTGAAGATGCCCTGAAAAGTGAATATTTAAGACAAAAATATATAAAACTAATAAAACCATTACTATGTCCCAGAAAGACAGACACCATTGCAAACTGAAGCAGACTTTGTCCTCTTTGTTGTTGTTGTTGTTGTGTACTGTTGAGTCAGAATTTATCCATAGCTGACCCTGCAGTGACTTTTTAGAGGTAGTTAGTAGCTTGAGAGGAGAAGGCCCATCCTTCTCACACGGAGCAGTTGGTGGATTCAAACCATGGGCCTTTGGGATTGCAGTGCAGATCCTTACTACTCAGACACTAGAGCTTCAAAGCAACAACAACAACAATTTGTCCTCTATACATAGCTTAGCCAGTTTGATATACTCTGCATTCTGTATTTATGCACAGTGTGTGTGTGTGTGTGTGTGTGTGTGTGTGTGTGTGTGTATGAATGTTCCTGTAAGGCAGGGACCACTGCCAAGCTTCTTTGAGTCCATGCCTCTAAAGTGTATATTAGATGCTCACATGCTTTAATTTAACTGTCCTTTTAAAAATATGCCCCTGTTCTGCAAATTGTCATCAGATTAAATGATTTCCATTGTTTTTATCTTTGATATACAATCCATACCTGAAATTTTATAGTAGCTCCCTCGTGGAGCTCCCTCGCCTGTCCTTTGTAAATTCTCCCTCAGGGTCTGTATAATTTTAAGGGATTTCTGAAAAAGGGATGCAATTTATCCCTCCCTACACGTGGTGACTATTTGTGGATTCCAGATGACTGCATTTAAAGCAGCCTCTCACTGCGCTGTTCAGCTGGTGCTCATTCTCATCATTCCGCCATTGTATCTTACACTTGCCTTCTCTTGGTGTTGATCTGATTCTAGTATGTATTAAATATCAGGGACGATTATAAGGATTCATAAAATATTCTGAGGTACATTTATTTAGCAGATGATTGGAATATTTGGTGTGTCATAGAAATAGTACACAATTCTCCATTATCCCACTTTAACTTTGAAGTTTGCATCATGGTAATTTTATAAGACACTTTTTCCATTGCTCTTTTTAAAAAATTCTGAGACTATGAGAGTGGAAGAACATATTTCTAACAGCAAGCACAGTTCACAATATGTATTTGTTGTAAATGAGAGAATGATTCATTACCTTGTTGTATTGTCAGTTTTAATCACTCTCTAAAAGTTAGTTTTCTTTTATTGCTTTAAATGTTTAAGCAAATGAATGATGAGGTTGAGTACATTATAAAATTATCTGAAGAGTTAAATGGCAAAGACGCACTGGTGAAAGAGAAGGCTCAACAACTTAAGGACATCATTCACCTCCACCAAAAACAGAGAGAGACAATCCGAGATTACGAGAAGATTCTGTGCAAGATAGTCCAGTTCCACCAAGTGAAAGAAGAGGTAAGACTTAGGACATGAGATGATTTCAAAACCTTAAATTTTAAAGTATGAGACTAGAAAAAAAAATATTTTTGTTAGATGTCATTGAGTCAACAAATTGTTTATTCTGATATCGGATGCTTTTTCAGTCTTTCCTAAATTTCTCTCTCACGGTACTCCCATCTAACCCTCCTTACTTGTCAGCCAAACTGAGCTCTTCTCTGTCTGTCATATGGTGGGCACATTCCTTCCCCATGCCCTGACACTGAGGTGTGCTTACCTGACATGTCCTTCTCTCTTCTCCACTGTCTGATTCCTCTCATGGACCTGCCTTAACTTGTAGTGATTCCTACCTCTTCTAACTTCATAGAGTTCTCATTGCTTATTCCACACAACTGGCATTTTTGCCATCTTGATCATAACATTTATTTCCCAATCCAAGTGTATACAAGTTCTGTAGTGGCAAAAATCAGTTTTAGATTCTTTGTGTCTTAAGTATTTGATGTGATAAAATGCTCAGTAAATATTGTTGGTTGTTTGGTTTGTTTTTTTGGGTTTTTTAAAATGAAATTTTTATTTTATACTGGTTTACTTACAAAATCTTAAATATTGTTTTTCACACGAGATTTTCCCATTTCCTTTACCCGCCCCTCCCTCCATCCATTAACTTGTGGGACCCTAAGATTAACCACTGCCACCACCCTGTTTGGTTTGGTTTTGAAGCTTCATGGTAAATTGTCCCCCATTAACACAAACTGATAGTCATATCTCTTTAAAATGATCTTCTGATTTTACTTAGCTCACAGGCCTAGACCTTACCCAGGTTTGTGCTCTGAGCAGAAAGAACTTAGTTTAATGGAACCTACATTTTTGGGTCCTTAATTTTACCTACTTGATTTCAAACATTGTGACATTTATTTAAGAGGTGCTTATGGAACTGCGGTTAAGCATAGCGTTGCATAGCAGAAGGTTCAAAGTTTGAACTCAATAGCCACTCCATGGAAAAAGTACCTGCCTCATTCTGTAAAGATTTTAGGTTATGATACACCCTTGGAGAGTGGTAGCTTAGTGATAGGAATTACACTGCCAACCCAAAGGCAGGTAATTTGAATCCACCAGCTGGGAGAGAAATGGGCAATTTCCTCCCATGTGAAGGTCCTCTAAAAGTCGTTTGCAACTCAATTGTACACAACAGCAACAACAACAACTCTGTCCTATAGAATTATTAGAAGTTGAAGTAAATTTAATGGCTATGGGTTTGTGTGTGTGACACTGATGTGTCAAATGTGATAATGGTTACCCATGGCGGACAGTGTGGTGGAGCTGCCCAGATAAAACAAGCTTGGAAGCAGGAGTGGCATCCACTTCAGAAATAGCTTGCCTCCGGAAACCCTATGAACTTAGAGAAAGGATGAAAGTTATAAAAGTGTTCAGGTCTTTCATTCATAGGGTCGCTATGAGTCACCTACGACTCGATGGCACTTAACAACAACAACAATGTGTGGTGGGGGTATTTTGTTGTTGTTTAATATGTATTAGGCTATGTCATTTATGACTAGGTGTGGGAAACTCTGGTGACCTAATGACAATAAACTGTGCTGCAATCCCAAAGGCACGTAGTTTGAGGCCACTAGCTGCCCTGTGGGAGAAGGATGGGCAATCTCCTCCCATACGATTAACTGCCACTGAACATCTGCTGGAGGGTCGGCTGTGGGTCTGTTCGGACTCTACGGTATGCAAAAACAACAGCAACATAGTATGGTTTAGCATGTAGACTTTAAAATGGTTTCTTTTTCATTAATTTCTTATAAGTTTTTTTATTATTATTTGAATGAAAGTTTACATTTGGTTGTAAAGAAAATGAAAAACAGAAGTTGGCTTTTAATTCACTCACTCGTACATGCTTTGTTTCTGTTTTCCCCTTTCCCTGCCCCCATTCAGGACGTTTTCCCCTTTCCCTGCCCCCATTCAGGACATAGTGTACGTCCTGTTCCAGATTGTTGATTGTCATACACTTGTCTGAACTATCATTTGTTTCAGATTAACCTTCCTGGATAGTATTTTATAAACATGGCATACAAGTAATTCTTAATGCTTTAAATTCCAGCTGACACAGCTCATGAAGTCAAGAGAACTAGAGTTTTTACAGCAGCCTGAGGAACTGAGTGAGGCTCGCGATGTCCAGGCTTACCTCAGTCGCTCACAGGAAAAGCAGGCCCAGATCGACCATCTCCACATGCTGGCCCTTTCCTTGGGAGTGGCCATCATCTCTGCAGTGCAGCAGCCTGTAAGCAACTTTGAACTTTATATGCACTTTTATAACTCAGACTAAGCAGCCTTGGCAGTGTAGTGCATTGTGTGTTGAGTTGCTAACCCAAGTTCATCAGCAAATCTGAACGAGAAAGATGACAAGTCTCCTCCAGGAAATATTTTATAGCCTTGGAAATCCAATGGAAGGTGAGCTATGAGTTGGACTCGACTCTGACAGTGGGCCTGATTCTACTTTTATAGTTGGGATTATGCATTTAATATGAACTGGGAGAAAGCTGGGCAATCTCCTCCCATATCATTTACTACCTATGAAAATCTGCCAGAAGGCCAGCTTACGTGTCAATTCCAATTGGAAGGCACACACATAACAACCACCACCACTAAAATTGCCTATTATATGTTAAATTGAGAAAACACATTAAACTGTTGGGGCTATTCTTTATGGTGGGTTTCTACCACCTACTGTGACACTGATGTGTTAAATGTAGTAACGGTTACCCATGGTGGACGTGTTTGGTGGAGCTCCCTGATTAAAACAAGCGTGGAAGCAGAAGTGGCATCCACTTCCGAAATAGCTTGCCTCCAGAAACTCTATGAATTTGAAGAAACTATCAAAGTTACACAAGTGTTCAGGTCTTTCATTCATAGTTTCGCTATGAGTTGTCTACAACTGAACAGCATCTAATAACAACAACAACATAACAAAAGCAAGTAGGCTTTGTGGTACTTGGTGCCAACTGAAATATTGTTGATTTGAACCTACCAGCTGTTCTATGGGAGAAAGACTGGCAATTGATTTCCACAGAGATCATAACCAAGGACACCCCATGGGACTGTTCTATTCTGTTGTATGTGGTTGCGATGAGCCAGAATTGACTCAAAGCAATGAATTTGGTTTTATGGTTTGTAACAAAAGGAGAATTAAGTAGGAAATGAAAGAGTTCTTTGATGTAGCTGTTCCCATTCAAGTTTTTTTTTAAAAAAGAATATATTTCAGAACTATGTTCTCCATTATGGCAGTTGAAATGGCAATTTAGCTCTTGAAATGAGAAATGCAGCTAATGCCATGAAAAAACTAAGCTTTCAACTCCATTTAATTGCCATTGAAATTCAAAAGTTGGCACTCTGTGTAAGTAATGAAGTACTGGGAACAATTTGAGTATGTGAATTTACTTTTTATATGATAAATTTTATAAAACATAAATACATATCAAATATTTTTAAAATAGAAATTTAGTAATAGAATCAGGATGTGATCTACATGTAAAATGCATAATACATTTCAGTGGCTAAGATGTGTTTTTAAAAAAACACATCTTATCCACCAGATGCTCTGCCGGGGAAGGAGGGGCAGTCTCCTTCTGTACCAGTCAGATCTGATTTGATGGTACACTCACACAAAAATGTTGTTGTTGTTATGTGCCGTCGAGTCGTTTCCGACTCATAGTGACCCTATGCACAACAGCCCTAAACCCTGCTCTATCCTGCGCCAACCACACCGCCTCTGACACACCCATCCCGATTACCCC